TAAAAACAATAAAAGCGCCCCTAAGCAGCTGCCGCTCTCACCAGTGTCATTTCACTGTTGTCAGTCATGTCTTGTTAACTATATAAATAAAAAAAAACAATAAAAGCGCCCCTAAGCAGCGCGCGCTCTCATCTGATCAGCCTCGTTTCTCTTGTCTGTGTGCAGGGACTCTGGGTCGGCCAGAGTGTCACGTGTCGTCCCAGACACTATCACCACCTGGGAGACGGATGCGTTCTGCCTCTCCCAAGCCGGGCTGGGCCTGGCCCCCCCACTTAACCTCACAGTGTTCCAGCCCTTTTTTCTGGAGATTACCTTGCCCTACTCCGTCGTCCGTGGGGAGAACTTTGAGCTGAAAGCCACTGTCTTCAACTACTTGCCTAAGTGCATCATGGTGTGTATACAGACTGACACTTGCTCCACGTGTGATGCATGTGTTTGCTGTGATCATTCTGACTCGCTTGCTTTCTCAGGTCACCGTGACCGCTGCCCCTTCCACGGATTACACATTACAGGCCTGCCCTGGCTGTCAGTATTCCAACTGCCTGTGTGCCTCGGAAAGAAAGACGTTCAAGTGGGTTCTGGTGCCCTCTGCCCTCGGTAAGCTACTAAGTTCATGTGTCTATTGCTCATGCCAACCTGGACGTACTCTGGTTCTCTCTGCCCACACACATGGCCCTATGATTTATGCATATCCCCATTAAATCCCACCCTTTTCACACTCAGGTGCTGTGAATGTGTCCATTAGTGCGGAGGCCAGTTCCACAGAAACCCTCTGCAATAACGAGGTGGTTAGCATACCAGATAGGGGTCGCATCGACCGGGTCACACGCACCCTGCTGGTCAAGGTAAGTAATGCCAGGCTTGGAATAAGGCATTTTAATCTTTGGCTCATTAGTGCATCAGCTGTTGCTCATTCTTCCATCCATCCCTTTTCTTTACTGGCTTGCCATTGAACACCACCATGACCTGACAGTATTTTCCCTTGGAAACAATCTGTTGCAGTTTTTTCTAAAAATGCATCTGATATTTAATGTTCAATCAGGGTTCCCGCGGGGTCTTAAAAAGTCTAAAATTCAGAAAGTTAAATTTAAGGCCTTAAAATGTATTAAAAATGCCCAGATTTTCATCCTAGGTCTTAAATTTAATTTACCCAAGTCTTACCATTCTTACCTCCGTTCATTCCCAAAAAGCGTTGTCCGCAGAAAATAAAATAGTAAAACGCTGTAAAACGATGGTTGTGTTTTCTGGTCTGCACCGGTGTCTGCGTGGTAATAAAACTACAAATCCCATCGCGTGATCACTGCAGCCAGGCAGTTAGCGCTTGATTCCCCTGCACTTCCTGTTGCGGCTGGTCGTGCACCTGACGTCAGTGGCTGAAAGTGCACGTTCTGCAGCCAGACCCTTCTCAAACTTTAGTTCTTGAGGCCAATGCGAACGGTATGTTGTTTTATTATTTGTATTACTGAATGATATAGTTACAAGTTTATTTCATGCCATACATTATTACAATGTAAATGTTTTGATGTAGTGCGTTAGTATTTTTTTTCTCTGATGACTGGAGTGAATTCTTTCAGTTAAAAGGCAACTACTAGCCAGTTGGCTCATATTATCTTATCATAAAATAAACACATTTCTACTTTTACAGAGCTTTTCATGGAGTTACCTTGTGAATGTCTTAGTTTCCAGCATATAGATTTTAGTTGTTCGTGTGGTCTTGAGGAGAACGTTTCTCTTTCTCCTTATGGAACGGCAAAGCAAGTTTATATTATCATACACAGGGGTTATTCAATATGCTTTATAAAAGCAAGATTTTAAATAGTTAAACCAAGACAAAAAAAAGCAAAATAGAGATGGAAAAAAACTTATTTGAATAAAAATTACTTAGAAAATCTAAAAAATCTGATTAAAAGTGCAGTATGTCCTGCCCCGCTCGTCCGCCACGCCCCCTCGTTAACCCCATGTGGATTCCCCGTGTTTATCAGCGGTTTCCAGTTGTTTTCATTATCGCTGATGGGCCTGGAACTTAACTTCCGCGATAGGCGGGGGATCACTATATATTTTAAGGCTTAAA